CCGCTCTCCTGGCCAGCTTCCCTGTGCAGGCACAATTGCAGTTCCCCATCCTGTGCCTGGGGCGGCGAATCTCTGGCTGGTGGTCTGGGGCAGGAGCTGGCCCCACAGCAGCAGAGTGGAGGAGCAGCACTGGCCACCCCACTGCCCACTCAGGTTGGGCCCTGCCACCCCTCCATCACAATGGGGGCGAGGCCAAATTTGAGTGAGTGGCATTGCAACCTAGTGCACAGTTGTTGCATCCCTGCTCGGTGTCCGCCCCCCCCCCCCCCCGCCCAAAAAAAACCAAAACCCTGGGCCCTCGGCATGTGCCTAGGCTGCCTATGCGTTAATCTGGCCCTGGGGAGGAAGTCTCCCCCCTCGAGAATGCCGCTTCCCCCATGAAGGAAGAAGGTATTTTTTTTGTCCTTTTTGGACATCTTCCTTTTCTTCTTGGGGGCAGAGGCCAGCAGGTGAATTCCAGACAAACAGAGAATGCAGAAGGGTCACGAGCATAATACCCCAGGCCAGAGCTTGGGCCTTAGCAACCACTAGCATCTGAGGAGGCAGCAGAGCAGTTGGGGCTTCCTCTATGTGGACTGCCCATGTAAGGAGCAAAAGTAGAGCCCCAGAGACTAGTACAACCCTGTGCACAACAGACCAGTCAGATACAAGAGAGTTTCCAGCACCCCAGGGCAGTGGTGGAACAGCCAGCATCACAGGGTAACATTTCGAAAGATCACAGTAGTGCAGTCCCTTTCGGCTAGAGTCCCCGTCTCATGGCTGATAATCCTCACTCCCCAGGGACCTCTGTGCAGCTTGGGAAGGCCAGGTCCATGGCAGCCAGTGAAAGACCATGCAACATGAAGGTAATATAATCAATGCCAATCAACAGGGGCTTGTGGAAAACAGATCTGAAACTAACATGATATTTTGTGACTCTAAAAAAAAGAGTTTCCACAGCAGTGTCCTGGTTGGTTTTGGAAATAGTCACTGGAGTATAAAAACCTGAAGGTTCTTCCTGTTAACTAGAATAAAACCATATCCCGAGCCTAAGAGACTCTTGCTATTAATCCTGACATTTGTTGTTCAGTGTGTAGAGATAAATGTGTCACTGAGGTAATAATTGTATGAGCTGCTGTTATTTGGAGATAAGCCAACACTTCAGCTGTGCATTTGATAGTAAAAAAGGAAGTAGAGAACCATGTTCATTACCAGATCAGATTAGATTTTCTGTTAAATGTCTGATTAATCAATGTCACTTTCCTGAGAAACAGGTCAAATGTCCCAGAGACAGGATATGCATGCCTGAGCACTTAATCCTCTAATCAGATGTTGTTTATACATTCTGATTACTTGGTTTTGTAGCCACATATTAGCAGAATACAAATAGCATCTTCGCTCTTAACTTGTGTAAGTCTGCTGCTAATGGACTCGTGAGGCAATGTCAACTCAAGACCTGGATAGTCTCTTTTCAGACTAAGGGTTGGGTCTTTTGAGCTTTCAGAGAACAGCTGATACCAGTCCACTACCTCCCACTGATCCTCAGTTCACCAACCTAGCAGCACACAGCCTCCAGAGCTGGGAGCCATTCAGGTACCACTCCAGTCAGGGCCCTAACATATAGTCAGTTATGCACGGGATGGCCTTTAACTCCCTCTACCATCAACACTACTCCACAACCACGCACACTCAGCTTAAAACCCATCCCTGGCTCTCCGGTCCCATACCCTTTTATAGAGCTGGAAGCTTTTCTGCATTCAAACAATAACCTGTGCTGATCTCACCTTATCAGCCATGGCTGCCAAAGTGCCTCCCCTTCGTTGATGAAAGGGCAGCTTCATCTTGCACCATCAGACCTAGCTTGGCCACTGTGATTCACACCTTTGTGGCTTCCAGGCTGATCACTGCAACTCCCTGTGCTTGGGAATAAGCACATTGACCTTAAAGCTCCAGACCATGGCAGCACCCCTAGCTGTCAACAGCACATCACTCCATTGCACTTCTCATAATATGGGCTATCAACAGCACTCATCTTGAAGATCCTACACTGCACTGGCCCAGGCTATGTAAAAGAGCCCCTCTTACTCAGGTATTGCACCCTTATTCCTCAAGAGCTGCTTTCCTAGCAACTAGCCCAAAAGTATGGCACTCCTTTCCAGAGGAGATAGCTCTGAGTGCTGAGGTGTGTGGTCATTCCTAGGTGCAAACCCACTTTTTTAGTCACAAGAGCAACAGAAGAAAACTTGCACTCTTCCCTCACCCAGCAACCTCTTGGAAAGGAAGGAGAAATCTAGTTTACTTGCTGGATTCCTTGCTCTATTGTCTCCAATTTGCAGGCACCCAGATATTAGTGGTAGGTCCCTGGTAAGAACCCAGTTTATGCACATGCAAACGGAACAACTGGGTCCCTTAGCTACAGTTACTGAAGTTGGGTGACGCTAATTCCCACAAACCTATCAAAAAATTCTTATATCAAGACTGGAAATTGAAGTCCTGTCATGCAAATCCACCAGACATATACAGAGATGGCCCAGCCACTGCAGAGCCATCGACTGCAGTAGCAAGCCACTCCATAGGATTTCGATTCCCTCTTTCCCAATTTTCATGGGACTACCTAGCACCAAGCCCTTAACCCTATGGTGACAGACCCATTAGAAATCCTAATAGAGCCCATTTCCTCAAGCACTGCATAGGGGAAAGGATTTGGGCCATATGAATAATGCAGGAGAAATACCTTTTCATATAGATTCAGAAGCCAAGTGATGCCAGAAAGAAAGAAAGAAGCCCCAACAAAGTGCAACTGCCTATATGTAGCCAGATCCTCAGATGCTGTTAATCAATGGTGTATTTCAGTGAAACTAGGACAGGTTCTTAGCTGGTGCAAACTAGCACAGCTCCACTGAAATACACCATCTCAGGATCTGCCCCATAGTTTCACTAACTGATGAAATAGCATTTCAAGGAAGCGGTTTCTTTCCACAACACTAGCTAAACAAATATAGCTCAAATGACTGAAGTGATCATAATTAGCTACTGAGAAAGAGGCGATTTGTACAGGTTTGTGAATGACAACTTAGTTAATACACCGTTTTACATTTTTCTCTACATTTTGTAGTAGAATCTTAATTTTACAAACGCCAATCTTATGAACAACTAGTTACATAGACCATGTTTACTTGACAGGGAAAAAAGTCATATAATGGAAGTGATGTTGATGAAGAACAAGTTGACATCCCTGCACATTCTGATGCCCTCAGTGCACTGGAAATCACTTTTCAGCGGTCTGAAGGACAAGAAGAAAAAAAAGCAACGCAGTGCACCGTCCTGCAACTTATGGAGTATACCTGCTGTCATTTTGAAGTGGTCACTTTTATGAACTTTTTGATTTTATGAAACCCTTAGTCCCCAATTAGTTCATAAAATAGGGATTCCACTGTTATCTACTTTGCATAAAGGACCATTAGGCTATGGCTGAAGTTACTACAAGAGCAATAACATTTCCAGTTATCAGTTGCTCTCCCACACCGTTTCAGTCATGTTTTATCTCAGACAAAGCACCCCTGTCCAGAGGTATCCTGTGGGGTTATGCTAACTGTTTACAGTGACATGCGTCCTTTTGCAGCTAGGAGACACAGAGGAACAAGTTGTTGATTCAGTCCAAGTCTCTGCCTTGCCCCCAACAATAGATGTAATGCTAGACAGTGGAATTATGAACAAATAAAACCTGTCAGCGCAGCAAAGTACCCTGCCTGCTATGTAGTCAGAGTGTTAGATGAAGACACCTGATGTGACACTAGCAGCACAACACAGTGGAAATCCGGGAAGTTTCAACGTCTAGCACACACTAACTTTCCTGCTAGCTAAACTCAAGATTATCAAAGAAAAACACAGGGGTTGTTTCTTTTCTTTTGGCAAGACGCTGACGTGCGGAACACAGATTGCTACCGTGAGCCTGATCCCACTTTCCTGCCTCATCTAAAACCCCCTGGAACCGAAGGGAATGTTGCCTGGGAAATAACAACAAGACAGGGTCTCTAGGGTGTTATTGTTTCATTACCAGCATTGCATCTGAAAGTAAAAGACTCTAGGAAATTGCACTGATGGCAATACCTGCTCATTAAAACCTGATCTTCACCTGCAGCATAACTGATATTTTCGTTTGCAATACTCAAAAGAGAGCGCGACTACAGGCTGAAGAAACCTTCTGCAAAGATCAACTTCATTTTGTGCACACCGCTTTCCAGAGAGCAGCAGGAATTTCGCTTCGAAGCTGATGTCTGGTGGGCAGGGACAGGGCAGCCCCGAGAGACAGGGTCTCTGCCAGGGTGGGGAGAGCCGCAGGCCAGGGGCCCGAGCCCCCGGCCCTGCAACCGGGAAGTCCCGCGGAACTCCCGGGGACTAGGTCAATGCGAACTCCCGCGGGGTGCGGGCCCGGGCTCCCCCGCGCAGCGCAGCGCAGCTCAGCGCGCCGCGTTACACACGCGCCCCGCTCCCCGCGGGCGTGTCCGAGCCGCCCCGCACGCAGCCGGCGGGGGAGCGATTCCCTCCCCCGGGCGGGGCCCCCTGGGGCAGCTGCTGCCGAGCCCGGGGCAGGGGAATCAAGTTCCGCCCGCGGGCCGCGCTCCGGGGCTGGGCGCGCTGCGCTCCCTTACCGCGCCATCTCCTCCGTCCATCGCCCATGGCCAGCCGCAGGAGCGGCGGCGCCTCCCCCCGCCCAGCGGGGCTGCTGCTGCCGCCGGCGCCGCCGAACTTCCCCGCGAGCCGGCTCGGAGCCAGGGACAGAGCCTGGCCCCGGCGTCTGGGCATGTGCGAGCCTGCCGCCGCGGCTCCCCTGCGCGCATGCGCCGACGGACCGGCTCCTGCGGGCGGGCGCGTGGGGGCCGGGGAGCCGCGCGCCGGGACACCCGCTGCAGGGCTCGCGCGGGGACAGGCCGAGCACTGCTGGGGCTGGGCCGCCAGTCGGGGCGGGCGTCGGACCTCCAGTTGTGGGGTTTGCGCACCCCCGGAGCGGGGCTCCTCACCTGCCGGGAGAAGGGTGCCCTGTCCCATGGCTGTACTGTGCCCGCCTGCAGCCGGGGCTCCCAAGCGAGCTGTGCAATCCGCCCGAAGTAGAGACAGCAGCAGCAACCCAGGAGGGAAAAGCACATATACCCCGTGCTGTGCAATAAGGAATTTGAGGATTACAGGAAGCACCAGGCTTAAAAATAGAGATTGGGTGTGTGCCCATAGGCATATGGCATTTAAGGGGAGAGGTTTTTCTGATGCACCTAAGGGGTTTAGAAGTACAAGTGCCACTGATTTATGCCCCTAAACCCCTTAGGTTCTTTTTACAAACTCAATCCAAAATAATAAATGCTTAAAATGTCAAGATTTCTCTGTAACCATGAGGTGTAGAAACTTGTTTTTAAATATCAGGGGGTAGCCGTGTTAGTCTGTATCTACAAAAACAACAAGGAGTCTGGTGGCACCTTAGAGACTAACACATTTATTTGGGCATAAGCATCTGAAGAAGTGAGGTTTTTACCCACAAAAGCTTATGCCCAAATAAATCTGTTAGTCTTTAAGGTGCCACGAGACTCCTTGTTGTTTTTGTAGATACAGACTAACACGGCTACCCCCTGATACTTGACACCATGCAAGGCACTAAATTTAGCCGTATGGAGTGGAAATCCATCAACCTCAACAAAAAACTTGCACAGATACAGACAGACATCATCTTCCTCTCCAAATGCAAATAGATGGACATCATACCAAATGGACTGAAGGTAAAAAATCCATTGCAATCAACATACTACACTGACTATGGTGAGAGACTGTGCCACACACTCTCAAAGAAACTGAGGAACCACCTGATCAGCATCCTGTACAGCAGACAGGAGAAGATCAAGAATGAGCTCTCAGAACTGGAGACTCTCATACAATACCAACCTTCCACACAAGCTTCCACGTGGCTGGACTTTACAAAAATGAGACAAGCCATTTACAATGCACACTTCACTTCTCTACAGAGAAAAAAGGACAGTAAGCTATCTAAACTCCTACGTGCCACAGGGGGCTACAACAGTGGTACCCTCAACTCATCTAACAACATTGTCAATCTTTCCAACCACACACTTAGCCCAGCAGAAGAGTCTGTCCTATCTCGGGGACTCTCTTTCTGTCCCACCATCCCCACGAACACAATACAGTTGTGCGGTGATCTGGAAGCCTACTTTCGTCGTCTCCAACTCAAGGAATATTTTCAACGCACCACTGAACAGTGCACTGACCCACAGGAACCCTCCTACCAACACTACAAGAAGAAGAACTCTGCATGGACTCCTCTTGATGGTCGAAATGACAGACTGGACCTCTACATAGAGTGCTTCCGCAGACGTGCACAGGCTGAAATTGTGGACAAACAACATCACTTGTCCCATAACCTCAGCCGTACGGAACGCAATGCCATCCACAGCCTCAGAAACAACTCTGACATTATCATCAAAGGGGCTGACAAAGGAGGTGCTGTGGTCATAATGAACAGGTTGGATTATGAACAGGAGGCTGCCAGGCAACTCTCCAAGACCACATTCTATAGGCCACTATCCTCTGATACCACTGAGGAATACCAAAAGAAACTACACCATCTGCTCAAGAAATTCCCGGCTACAGTACGAGAACAAATCTACATGGACACACCGCCAGAACCCCGACCAGGGGTATTCTATCTGCTACCCAAGATCCATAAACCCGGAAATCCTGGACGCCCCATCATCTCAGGCATTGGCACTCTTACAGCAGGATTATCTGGCTATTTGGACTCTCTCCTCAGACCCTACGCTACCAGCACTCCCAGCTATCTTCGAGACACCACCGACTTCCTGAGGAAACTACAATGCATTGGTGTTCTTCCTGAAAACACCATCCTGGCCACCATGGATGTAGAAGCACTTTACACCAATATTCCACATGAGAATGGACTACAAGCTGTCAGGAACAGTATCCCTGATGAGGCCACAGCATGCCTGGTGGCTGAGCTTTGTGACTTTGTCCTCACCCACAACCACTTCAGATTTGGGGACAACTTATACCTTCAAGTCAGTGGCACTGCTATGGGTACCCGCATGGCCCCACAGTATGCCAACATTTTTATGGCTGACTTAGAACAACGCTTCCTCAGCTCTCGTCCCCTAGTACCCCTCCTCTACTTGCGCTACATTGATGACATCTTCATCATATGGACCCACGGAAAGGAGGCCCTTGAAGAATTCCACCTGGACTTCAACAATTTCCACCCAACCATCAACCTCAGCCTGGACCAGTCCACACAAGAGATCCACTTCCTGGACGCTACAGTGCAAATAAGTGATGGTCACATAAACACCACCCTATACCGGAAACCTACTGACCGCTATACGTACCTACATGCCTCCAGCTTCCATCCAAGACACATCACACGATCCATTGTCTACAGCCAAGCCCTAAGATACAACTGAATTTGCTCCAACCCCTCAGACAGAGACAAACACCTACAAGATCTTTATCAAGCATTCGTAAAACTACAATACCCACCTGGGGAAGTGAGGAAACAGATTGACAGAGCAAGACGGGTACCCAGAAATCACCTACTACAGGACAGGCCCAACAAGGACAATAACAGAACACCACTGGCCATCACATACAGCCCCCAGCTAAAACCTCTCCAGCGCATTATCCACGATCGACAACCTATCCTGGAAAATGATCCCTCACTCTCACAGACCTTGGGAGGCAGGCCAGTCCTCACTTACAGACAACCCCCCAACCTGAAGCAAATACTCACCAGCAACTACACACCACACCACAGAAACACCAACCCAGGAACCAATCCCTGTAGCAAACCTCGTTGCCTACTCTGTCCCCATATCTACTCTGACGACACCATCAGAGGACCCAACCACGTCAGCCACACCATCAAGGGCTCATTCACCTGCACATCTGCTAATGTTATATATGCCATCATGTGCCAGCAATGCCCCTCTGCCATGTACATTGGCCAAACCGGACAGTCCCTCCGCAAAAGAATAAATGGACACAAATCGGACATCAGGAATGGTAACATACAAAAGCCAGTAAGTGAACACTTCAGTCTCCCTGGTCATTCTATTACAGATTTAAAAGTCACTATCATTGAACAAAAAAACTTCAGAAACAGACTTCAAAGAGAAACAGCAGAACTAAAATTCATCTGCAAATTTAACACCATTAATCTGGGCTTGAATAGGGACTGGGAGTGGCTGGCTCATTATAGAAGCAGCTTTTCCTCTCCTGGAATTGACACCGCCTCATCTATTATTGGGAGTGGACTACATCCACCCTGATTGAATTGGCTCTGTCAACACAGGTTCTCCACTTGCGAAGTAACTCCCTGCTCTCCATGTGTCAGTATATAATGCCTGCATCTGTAACTTTCACTCTATGCATCTGAAGAAGTAAGGTTTTTACCCACAAAAGCTTATGCCCAAATAAATCTGTTAGTCTTTAAGGTGCCACCAGACTCCTTGTTGTTTTTGTTTTTAAATGAAAGTTGAGATTCTTATATAATCATGGGCTTCCAGGAGCTGGAGCTTTAAGAAAAACAAGTACACCTCTACCCCGATATAACACGACCCGATATAACACTATAAAGCAGCACTCCAGAGGGGGTGGGGCTGCGCACTCCGGCGGATCAAAGCAAGTTCGATATAACGCGGTTTCACCTATAACGTGGCAAGATTTTTTGGCTCCCGAGGACAGCGTTATATTGTGGTAGAGGTGTATCATGAGTCTCACAGGAGGTGGCTACAATGGCTGTAGTTGACAATCCGGATTAAGCAGGGCATTAACTTGATTGCATTTGTCCATTATTTCTGTACACTCAAGTACATATTGTTTTAGTGCAGCATTTCTCGAATGTGGCCACCATGGACTTTTCTTGTGGCCACAGCCTCCTGGGATGGGGGCAAAGTACTGGCCCCTCCTGTGATGTTGCACTCCATATGCTTTATGGAAATATGCTTATGAATATGACATAACAGGAATATGCTTTACGCTAAATACCCCTTGTATGGTGTCATTAGCTTGTAATCTACTAAGTGTGTTCATCCTATGTATTATTTCTATATCTGGAGTTAGGAGAATAAGATATAAACTTGTATCACTAATGTAAACATATTAAGTGGAGGCCATTAAGGGTGCTCCAGAAACAATCAGTTGTAAATGGCCTTAGTTACTTGAAAGCCTCCCTGTGTACGTGTGGGCCAGCCCATGGGGAATGGAGACTAGGGGTCTTACAGTGACATGTGACCATGTCACCTGATAATGAAATCCATCTTAAATCTGATACTTTTCCATTTAGAAGGTGGGGTGGGGACCGAGAGAGAGACAAAAGATTCTCACCTTGTGCCAAAGCTATAAAAGGGGGTGGAGCAGGACAAAGAGCAGCCAGTCATGAGAAAACCCCTGCTTACCACCTAAGATGTCTGCTGGATTTAACAAGGACTGTACCAGGGGAAAGGATTACGCCCAGACTAGGAAAGAGTCTAGTCTGTGAAAGAAGCTTATTGGAACATCTTTGAGGGTGAGATATTACCTGTAATCAGTTTCTTAATGTATTAGTCTTAGACTTGTGTGTTTTGTTTTATTTTGCTTTGTGACTTACTTTGTTCTGTCTGTTATTACTTAAAACCACTTAAATCCTACTTTTTATACTTAATAAAATCAATTTTGTTTATTAGTAAACCCAGAATAAGTGATTTAATACCTGGGGGAGCAAATAGCTGTGCATCTCTATCAGAGGGCAGACAATTTACGAATTTACCCTATATAAGCTTTATATAGAGTAAAACAGATTTATTTGGGGTTTGGATCCCATTGGGAGCTGAGTGTCTGGGTGCTGGAGACAGGTAACCTGCTGAGCTGTTTTTAGTTAAAGTCTGCAGCTTTGGGGGTGTGGACCAGACCTGGGTCTGTGTCGTTGCAGGCTAGCTTGTCTGGCTCAACAAGGCAGGGTTCTGGAGTCCCAAACTGGCAGGGAAAACTGGCTCAGAGGTAATTTCAGCACATCAGGTGACAGTCCCAAGGGGGTCTCTGTTACTGAACCTGTCACTCCTCCCCCTCCCTGTTGCTCCTGGATGCCCCACCTTGATGC